GAGGATAACTCCTTGCACAACACTTAATAAAGCTTGCTTTTCATGATGTATAGACATTGTGTGTTTTATCTCCCCAGCTGGGTAATATGCATCCTGAGGTAGAGTCATGCAGTGTCTCTTTGCATCTTTTGTAGTATGCAGACATATTGTGAAACCCATGATGTGATCAGCCTTCTTTCAATAATATGCTGATCCTTCAAGTGGAGATATAGTTGAAAAAATTGATGTTTTTAAAACTATACATGGTTGTGGACCTTTTTATTTCATTCATTAAAAAAAAAATCTATTGATGAGACCAGCAGATGGCATAATGGCTATGTTGCTGGATTCCCATGTAGTTGACCATAGTTCGAGTACTAGACACAGTGCCTTAACTCACTCAAAATCCTGAGAAGAGAATGGAGGAGAAGGCATGTGGTGTGGCCGTCCCCCCTGGGGATGATTTCTCTCTGTCTCTCTTCTCTCCAGCAAGTGCACCCTATTGCCAAAACCTCTCTTATAAAAAATCTACTGACTATCGACTAATAGGTAAGGCCCTGGAGACATCTTGTGAATTATACAGGGAGTCTAGGCCTGGGAAGCTTATGACTCTAGCAGAGGAGATAAACAAATTGCAGAGAGCGGACTGGAAGGCATGTGTCAGGAGAGCAGCAGTAATAAGGTGCCGTGGGGATTCAGAGGAAGGGCAGATGACTTTCAGCAGGGATGTCGGCATTTATGGGAGGGTCTGTGGAGGAGGTGGTTCTTGAGCTGAGCTCTGAATTGTGTGTTTAAGAGAGAAATGAGCTCTCAGGAAAGCCTAGCTTTGAACTACTTCTACCAAAACAGGAAATAAAGGGGACGTAAGTTTGAACCAAGATCAAAGGCTGAGCATCAGCTGAAGACCCTCGACCACCTCCACATCCACGCACAGCACCATTCAGTAGAAACACCAAATGGTTCGATTTGCAAAATACATCCACGAGCATACCTGAAGACCGTCGGACACTCTCAGATGACATAACTTTTCATTTACAAGCAGTAAAGAGTTTAACACACCAAGAATAGCTTTTAACAAAGGTAAGAGAGAAAACATTGAAGTACCCACCTATTTATTATTAGATATACGCGACCATTGACTTTGGCATGGCTACGAGGTGAGAGATGGAAGCACAAGGATGCAATGGGACACAGGTTGGAGAGAGAAAGAGGAGACTGTTAGACAGAGATGAATGAAGTAGACTGTCTCAAGCTTCCTACCATCAGGTGAATCATCATCCACACAGGTGTCACGACTGAAGCGTCTAGGCAGCAAGATTCAGTAGCAACGTGAAATCAGTCATACTCAGGAAAAACACGTGACGATAATGTCTCCCCATTTTCCTCATCCCTCCCCCATTTATTCAAAATGTTTAATATTTAAATTTCTCAAGGTACATTCTATCAAAGGAAATATAATCTAAAATAATTTTTGTTCCTTCCCCAGAATTAAAAAGAAAAATGAAACCCTACTTAGTAATCATATTCAACATGTTATTATTTTCCAAGGTTGTCTAAAACTGAAGTTATACACATATTTCCTCAAACAAATCGTAGGCAAATTAAAGTGATATAAAAGTCATTAATATTTGAATAGGTCTTAGGAAACTTATTAATCACATATTTAGAAATAAATATAATTATGTTGTAATGTTACATATTATTAAGAGACATGAAATGATATTACTGAGACTTCTTACTTAGATATAATAACAGTTTCTCCTGTGTATATTATCAAACTTTTTTATAATGCTAACTGTGAAATTCTGTAAGGCTAAACACAGTAAATTCTGTTTCATACACAGGTGACATTTGCCTATATTACATATGTGTATCATATATTACACATACATACAGACACAAATGGACCAAATAAAAAGAATTGTTGTATAGTTATAGGAGCAATAGTAGTTAAATTAGTTTAATGAATACAGTGAATTGATTATTTCTGATTTGTGGGGCATGATCATAAAGCATGCATTAGGAGTTGGGAACAGAGCAAACAAGGTATGATAGATAGTCCTAACTCTGGGAATATTTCTAATTCTAGCAAGTTTTTGGTCACTGAAGACCAAATTGGCGGGGGGGGACTATGAGGTGGGGCCAGCAGAGAAGGTGCTGGACTCCCACATGGACAACTACGGTTTGAGTCCTGGAAACGGCAGGCTTAAAATCACACCAGGTGCATGCGTGTGTGTGCCCAAAATCTCAGGAAGAGAACGGAAGTAAAAGGATTGTGTTGTGGCCATCTTCTGTGTCAGATGACTTCTTAGTTTTCCTCTCACTGTCTCTTTCTGTTTCTCTCCTCTCTGAGAGTGCATGCACCCTATGGATAAAACCTTGGGAGGAAAATAAAAAAGCTCTGGTGAGCTCACATGCCCCTAAAACCTTGGGAAAAAAATAAAAAAGCTCTGGTGAGCTCACATGCCCTATGACAAATAAAATTAATGATAGTAATAATAAATAAAATTAAATAAATATTTCTTTTTAAAAAAGAATTTTCTTGGGACCAGCAGTTAGTGTAATGACTATGTCGCTGGACTCACATGTAGTCAACCACGGTTTGCATCCCAGACCGGGTGGCTTAAGACTCACGCTGGGCGTGTGTGCGTGCATGCCCAAGATTCCGAGAGGAGTAGGGAGAAGGGATTGCAGCGTGACCATCCCCCCTGGGGAGTGATTTCTCGCTTTCTGTCTCTCTGTCTCTGTCTGGGGAGCGTACGTGCCCTATAGCAAAAAAGTAGTGAAGGGCTACTACAACTGTAACTGCTGAGGATACAGATAGTACATGCACATCTTGATGTGGCTATAGTCCCTCCCTAGAACCTGCATCATTAAAAACTGCCATAGATACTTAAAGGGACTTGGTGGAACAAATTCTATTTCCACTTATATGAGGTCCAAAGCCTGGAATTCTTACAGGCTGTAAAACCTTTGCTGACCTGTATTGTCTTTTGCAAAACCATGTCCCTGGAAATCTCTATGTTTTGCAGTAAATGTGATTTATACTTCAATTTGGAAGCATAAAAGAAGACTCAGACACATGATGATAATAATAATGGCTGAAAATAAAGCTCCTACATACTGGAGGAAATTTTAGTGAAAAGAAAACAAAAATGGAAGGGAAAAAGGCATGTAGAAGAGAAAAAATATATAAAGGCATTATTAACAACATCAAGAATTACATCTCTTTCCCAAACATACAAATCTGTTCTGCTAACTAAAAGATTTTCTTAGGTTATGACTTTTAAATAAACAGTGAGGGTGTTTACTTATATAAAGTATATTACCTGTTCAGAGTTAAATATCACACACTAATTTTATCCACCAATATCATAAATAATGTCAAGAGAACTAGCAGATAATAATTTTTTTCTAATTATTTACAACTCTCACTTTCTAAAGCAGCCATTGATTTATGAATGTTTAAACTTAGGGTGATTCTTCCCTGCCTGAAAGGTTTCCTATGAATCATCTCCCTTATGAGTCCCTAGGCATCTCATAATTGCTTTAGTTTTCTAATATTTACCACTGAATTAAATAGGAGCTAGTTATGGAGCATATGAGCCACTGATTCTTCCTAGACCCTCCTGCCTGCTGGGGCATAGGGGGTAGGTAAGTTTTAGCTGAGCCTAACTACTTATGGTGGCAAGATGGTATAAGAAAGAATGACTGGTTGACATCTCTTGGCTCTGTTGGTTGGGAGTCAGTATGTCAATGAATAGAAAACACATCCTGTGAAGTAGCCAGATTAGCCAGATTCTGTGATTATTTGAGAACATATGACCAGCCTTTATACAAAATATACAGCACCAAGTCTAAACTATTTTTATTTGGACAACCACTCTGAATCTATTCATTTGGCTGTCAAGATTACATTGACATACTGACAGCCATCCTGAATATACTCCAGAACAGAAACTCAACATATTCTTGGGTTAGACAAAACACAAAGAAATACATCTGCTGGTCTTAAATAAAGATTGCAAAATGTTGTTCATCTTTAATAAAAGTATTTCAGAATTATCCATAATTTGACTTCCTACTACAGCAGAAAATAGAAAATTTGTATTGTATGTATGTAACAAAATCCTACTTCATCTTCTATTGATATGCTTTTTTTTTCCCCTTGAATTCAAAGAATTAAGGGGAATTCTCAACTGTGGACTCTGTGCACCCCTTATACAACCCTTTGCTCCTTCACTTGCTTAACAAGTGTTTTCCTAATAACTGAATCATAAGCTAAATATGAGGCACAGAGGAAAATCATTGTTAGCACTCATTAGAAGAACGTTTATAATTTCCCTCTGATGGAAGAGATTGAGAGATCTGCAATAACACACTGTGGTCTGAACAAACATGGACAGATAAAGAAATATCCCATCTGTTACTTAGAAACAATTCATTTTCACTGGTGAGGGGAAAAGCCCACTAAACTTCTTAAAGGAGACACTTCCTTGAATTTATGTACTTAAATATCATTCTAATCTATTGATTGTACATACTCTCCTTTTGCCAAGGTATTTTATTTCCCAAATGGAAGTGAACATTCTGCAATGATCTCTTGATATGGTCTCACAGTGACTTTATTGGTGGCCAGGCCAATAGAAAACACATCCTGTGAAGTAGCCAGATTAGCCAGATTCTGTGATTATTTGAAAACATATGACCAGCCTTGATACAAAATATACAGCACCAATTCTAAACTATTTTTATCTGGACAACCACTCTGAATCTATTCATTTGGCTGTCAAGATTACATTAACCAGTCCTAAGTCATCATTAATTGTTTCAGAAACTGTCATCAAATATCCTGCTTTTTATTTTCTCTTTCTCTTTTATCACCCTCAAGTGGATATTCATGGAAAGTTCAAGGTTGAAACTCTAACTTAGATAATTAGCTTTCAGCAAGGTGGTCAATCAAAGGTATGGCGTCAAGGCTGACTCCCTGATGACAAGAGGTGTTTTTCTTATCTGCTCACCTGTATATGGTGTTGTCTTCTTTGCTAGGAATAGAATTGAGGTCTGTGAGTTCCAGGAACCGGTCGTGGAAATAGTGAAGGTGTAAAATGCACACTAGCAGGAAGGAGGTTGGGATGAATATGCGAGTGAATAATTCGGCCACAGTAAACTGCTTTAAGCCAAGATCCTCAAGCCTGTAAAACAAAATGAAATAAAAGCAAGGACACTGGATCCACATGGCTGACCATGGTTTGAGTCCCAGACCCAGCAGCTTGAAAAATCACAAAAAATAAATAGATAAATAAGTAAACAAATGTTTTAGAAAGTGTAAGCACCTTCTTACACAATAAAGACAAATTTCTTCATCATAAACTACATCACAGCCTTTCAGGTATTTCATTTTTTTTTGTTACATCCCTCTTGCCCACACATTTCCATTTGGCTTTTGTTTCATCAAACCCAACTAATCTGCTTTTACAATGGTCAATAGCAATGTTGAGATTGTCAAATGCAGTGGCTATTTCTCTACCTTTATTAAATGCAACCTCTAGTCTTTTTCTAGTCACACATAAAAGTTGTACATATTTGTAGGATATGATGTAATTTATTTTTCAAAATAAAAACACGATGTGTAGTGACTAATTCAGGGTAATTAGTATACCCAACACCTCAGCCATTTGTCTGTGTTGGGAACATTCAAATTCCTTTTAGTTATTTTGAAATATATAGTAAGTTGTTTAACTATATTCTACTATGGTATTTTACAACCCTAAAAAATATTTCTCTTATCTATTCTGTAGTTTTGTTTGCATTAAGCATCACCCTCCTACTCATGACCCCCACCTCCATCTTTCCCAGTCTTGAGTAGTCATTTTTCATCCCTCTGCCTTTTTATAGGCTTGCTTTCTTTCTCTCTTTCTTTCCTTTTCTTTCTCTCTCTCTCTCTTTCTTTCTTTCTGTCTTCTCTCTTTTTTAAATTTCCACATATGAAGGAAAACATACGGCATTTCTCTTCCTGTGCCTAATTTTGCTTAAAATAGTGTTGTATTGGCTTGCCCATTTAACCTCAAATGGCAGAACTGCATTCTTTTTAATGACTGAATAGCAATCCATTGTATATATACCATACGTTCTTTTATCCATTTGTTGATAAACACTTAATCTCTAATCTCCTTTGAGACAATTCTGGTCTTGATACTATCACCATTTCCTGATGTCCCCTTCCATCTCTATCTCTTCACTTTCTGGCATATGGGATCAGCAGGTGGCATGGTGGTTGGGGCACTGAACACTCACACATGGCCAACCACAGTTCGAGTCCCAGACCTGGTCGCTTGCTTTTTCACTTTCCCTCTCTCTCTCTTTCTCTCTGGTCAAATTAACACAAATAAATGAATAAATAAAATTAAATACATAATTTTAAAAAGAAATATGTCCAAGACTCTGTTTTGAGTATCTGTTGTAGCTCTCTTCCTCCCTGAGATGATCTCATCTAGTCCATGAACCGATACCTCATCTATGCCAATGACTCAAATGTGTACATACAGCATAGCCTTCTGGGGGCTCTCACATTTACCATCTTTACTGGGTAGAATTTGCTTCAAAGTTATTTCATAATTAAACATTTTTTAAAACAGTATTCTTGATGTCTCTCTTTTTCTTAGCAGTGTTTTCTCTACCTTTCTGTCTCCATTCCAGAGTTTCTGGAGCAAAATTCAGAAATTAAGATGTCTCCCTGACCCTAAGATTTTTCCTTCATATTTCTCTGATCCACTTTTCTTTCGATGTCCTAAACATCCCAAATCTGGCACTGAACACTCACACATGGCCAACCACAGTTCGAGTCCCAGACCTGGTCGCTTGCTTTTTCACTTTCCCTCTCTCTCTCTTTCTCTCTGGTCAAATTAACACAAATAAATGAATAAATAAAATTAAATACATAATTTTAAAAAGAAATATGTCCAAGACTCTGTTTTGAGTATCTGTTGTAGCTCTCTTCCTCCCTGAGATGATCTCATCTAGTCCATGAACCGATACCTCATCTATGCCAATGACTCAAATGTGTACATACAGCATAGCCTTCTGGGGGCTCTCACATTTACCATCTTTACTGGGTAGAATTTGCTTCAAAGTTATTTCATAATTAAACATTTTTTAAAACAGTATTCTTGATGTCTCTCTTTTTCTTAGCAGTGTTTTCTCTACCTTTCTGTCTCCATTCCAGAGTTTCTGGAGCAAAATTCAGAAATTAAGATGTCTCCCTGACCCTAAGATTTTTCCTTCATATTTCTCTGATCCACTTTTCTTTCGATGTCCTAAACATCCCAAATCTGCCCACTTCTGTTATTCATCTCCACCACTAACTGTTCCAGGAAACACCATTCTTCTCAGAGGCCAACTGCCATTTAATGTTAACTGGTCTTGTTTTCTGTTAGTTAAGAGATCTTTAAAGACTTAAAAATTCTACCATGCGGCCCAGTCAAGATAGCATTCAAGATAGCATGTGTGGCAGATGTTGCTGCTTCACAGTCTAAGGCCACATGAGAGGCCCAGGTTGAATTCCTGGCCCATCCTTAAAGCCAGGTGCAGTGGTGTGCACTGACAGACCCAGTTTCCCAGCTGTTTGGGAAGCTGAGGAAGGAAGATCATGACTCAGTAAGATTCTGTCTTTTAAAAAAAAGAAAATTCTACCAAGAATAAAATGCAAATTATCACTACCTGCAAGTCATATACATCCCGGGTGCCTTGCTGAACTCTTCCACATCTTCTCTGTCCACTTCCTCTATTCCCAGCAGGTTAACCTTCCTTCAGCTTCTCATCCCAACCACACTGCATCTGCTCCAAACTCTGTCTTACCTCAGGGCCTTTGCATTTGCTGTTCTTTCTGACTGTATGCAACTCTGCCCGCTCAGTCCCTAACCCCCACACCTCTCCTAAGAAAAGCTCCTTCTTATCCTTCAGCTGGAGTTAAAATGATACCTCTCAGTGAAGGATACCCTGACCACTCCATTTCCAGATAGTTCCTTCAGTATTCACTATTTCAATCTGTTTATTGCCTTCAGAGATGTCACAATTTGTAAATAGCTTATTTACATCAGGTAGGGCTTTTGTTTGTCTTCTCTAATAGAATTAAGCTGTCTAGGTTTAGACTCAGTCTTGTTTTTTGTTATATTTTCAGGCATAGAATAGTACAGAAAGCATTAAAAAACTTTGTAGTATAAATCCCAAGATGTGCTAGCCTAGCTACATGGTGATCCTTTCCTTTTAAACTTTCTCCTTCTCCATTCAGATCTGTGCCCAACTCTGGTTGAAAGTCTAAATTTCAGACGTTTATAGAACCAAATTAGAAAAGGATAGAGCACTATTACTTGCACAAGAAAAACTATCATAATGATCATGAATCTATGAGTGCTTGCAGAAACTTCTTTCTCTATGGCAATAACTACTCCCTAGAATCTAAATGGCCAGAAACATGCTTGCGAGAAGGCTGCTGCCTTGTACTGAGTCCGTGAACCCACCTAGGAACTGAAGAACTGAACTTTGATTTAGAGAGCAGAAAGCATGACTAAGTACTAAGCAGTTATTTATTTTTTTACATGAAGCTCATATTAGAAAATTCCAGTTCATTAAAATGGGACTGAAAATTCACTTTGCAGACACTATTCCTAGAGCACCCACTGTGTTCCAGGCTCAGGGCTAAGTAGAGGGAGCACAAAGACTAAGTTCTAAGTGGACATGGGTGACATTGTGTCTACATAAAATCTTCCTCCAAAGTGTTTTTAACAATATGCATTCAAGTCTTTGTCTTGTCATTTGTATCTCCCATTGTATAGCAACATTGCTTACTTTTCTTTTTTCAATCCAGTCATATTTTGCCACAAGCCTGGGAAGTTTTCAAACTGATATGTATAAATAAAAATAAGCACCAGCATAGTGTAAATAACTACTGACATCCAAAAGTATTTCAGGATTCTTCTCCACCATTCATAGTGCACCTGTGAGTCAGATGAGAAAAAAAAATTATAGGAAAACTCACAAAAGTATTTGGTTTATTCAACTAAGATAAGTGATTATATCTAAAGGTGTTGAAATAAAGTCTACTTTTAGTATTTTTTTTTCTTTTTTGCATTCTGTTTGCAACATAGTTAGATATGGGTTGGAATACAGTTATGAGTGGCCACTGTGTCTTTGGGCGAGTTGCTGGACCTTATGAGCTTTAGTTTCCTCCTCCATAAATACCTACTTTGTAGAGATGGTATGAGGTTGAAATAGGTAATATACACAAGGTTCCCAGCATGATATCTGGTCTATAGAATGAACTCAAGGAAAGGCATGATTGCTTCTGTCATCATTGTGGTTATTATTAATGAGAAAAAAACAGCACCAGTTTTGAAATTCAAACTGGTACTGTGTGAGTGAAGTGTGAAACAGCCACAGAGAAGAGACATCTCTCTTTCCAATAATCTGTAGTCTTTGGAAAACATTTATCTTGATTTTTAAAAAGCATTCAAATGCTCATTTGTTTCTGTTGATGTCCTTTTAATTTAACATATAACATTCCCTTCTTATTGTGGTTGCTTTATTTGTTTTGTTGGTTACTTGCAATAATATTTTACTGTTACTCATGTTTCTATCATTGGGTTCCCATCTATCATCAGTTAAAACCAAGTTTCTAGAGAGGCTTACTCATTTTAATATAGTCTTCTATCAATTTTAATGAATGAAATACTAAAACAGTTGATGTCTTATAAATATACATGTCCATACACACGTGCACACATGTGCACAATCACATAAGATTTTCTGATTCAAGAACCTGAAATTCAAGTTACCTGGGAATCCTCCACTGTTTTATATTATCCGACAACTGCTCTTAAATTAATATTCAAAAATATAACTCAAATATATAGCTTGCTTTTTTTAAGCAGTAAATTTTGAAATACTATTTGGTTTTTTGAGAAGTTTTTGCTATAGGGCATGTGCGCGCGCCGGACAGACAGAGAGACAGAGAGACAGAAAGCGAGAAATCACCCCTCCCGGGGGATGGCCATGCCACAATTCCTCCTCCTCCATTCTCCTCTCAGGATCTTGGGCACGCATGAACATGGATGGGCCCAGTGTGAGTTTAAGCCACCGGGTCCGGGACTCAAACCACAGTCAACTACATGGGAGTCCAACAACATAGCCATTACACCAACTGCTGGTCCCAATTTTTGAAATATTTTTGAACTTTTTCCTGATTTTTTAAGAGTGTAAACTTTTAAAATATTGAACAGTTTGAAGACAATCATTCCCCACTGGGATTCTTAGGATGTAATGTTTGCATTTCATCAATCACTTTATATGATATGTTCATATGATAATAGAAATTTAGAATCTTTCAAAGGAAGCTCACATAAATCCCAGGGACAAACATGAGAACCAGACTAGGGAGGACCAAGTTACCTACCTGATACAAGGCCACACAGAACAGGAAAAGCACCATGTAGATGATTTTGTACATTACAATTTTACCCTCGAAGCTGACGAAGAAAAACATGCCTCCACAGACATAGATCCAATACTTGATGAACATGGCCACCACCAAGTTGCCTAGCACTTTCATGATGTCCTGATCATCATCTTCTTCTATTTCTTCTTCTTCCTCTTCCCTCTTTCTCTCTTGCTTCTCTTCCTTTGGTTCCTCTTCTTCTTCCTTCTCTTTGGGCTCACCTTCCACTTGTATATCTTGAAGTTCATCATCTTAAAATAGGAAACTGTGCTGTTATTCTTGGCTGGTGACCTGACTGAAACCACACTTTGATCGTGTGTGATGTATGTGGCACATGGAAGTATGTATTTTATGAGCTATACGATTTGAATGATTTTAGACTGTGCTAATAAACAAGGCAACACTTATAACTGGTTGATTTTCTAACCTTTACAAAATATAGTTTAAAAGAAATTGAAAATATTTTTGGAGTAATCTCTTTATAACACCTTTTTTTTCTTTTTGGGGGAGAGATTTTCACTATAGGGTGCGTGCGCTCACCAGACAGACAGAGACATAGAGACAGAAAGCGAGAAATCACCCCCCAGGGGGGATGGTCACGCCGCAATCCCTTCTCCTCCATTCTCCTCTCTGGATCTTGGGCACGCACGCACACATGCCCGGCGTGAGTTTTAAGCCACCAGGTCCGGGATGCAAACCGCGGTCGACTATGTGGGAGTCCAGCGACATAGCCATTACGCTAACTGCTGGTTCCCAACACCTTTTTCATTTATCTTATCCAGTGATCGTGTAAAGTATTGCAGTACCAGAAAACAGATAAAAAGGCAACAATAACACAAATATGAACCACTATGTTGATTTCAAATTCTAATTGTTTCATGGCTGTGGACCAATGGTCCTCAACCTCTTTGGCACCAGGGACTAGTTTTGTAGAAGAAAACTTTTCCATAGATTTGGGGTGGGGGTGGTTTTGGGATATCCAATTGCATTTACTGTTCACTTTATTCCTATTATTATTACATTGGAATATATAGTGAAATAATTATACAGCTCATCATAATGCAGAATCAGTGGGAGCCCTGAATTTGTTTTCCACCAACTAGAATGTTCAAAGTTTATTCAAAGTTTAACTGGAATCATGGCGGTGACTAGCAAACATGGGATTTTTAACATGTTTCCGTGTGAGAGTCTAATGCCACCACTGATCTGAACAGGAGGTGGAGCTCAGGCAGTAATGCAAGTGATGGGGAGAGGCTATATATACAATGAAGCTGAGCTTATTCTCCTGCCACTCACTTCTTGCTGTGTGGCCCAGTTTCTAACAGATCACAGACTGGTAGCAGTCTATGGCCTGGGGGTTGGGGACTCCTGCTGTAGATAACCCAAACAATGCTTTACCAATGTAGCTAGTGCTAACAATCTTAGCCAAAAAGCATAATTTAATTAATTAATACTTTATTTTAAGAGATTTCTGCTAGAGCACTCATGTGTTTGTCAGAAAGTCAGAGAAAGAAAACAAGAAATTGCCCCCCCCCCCGCCCCCCGGAGTGATGGCCATGCCACAATCCCTTCTCCATTCTCCTCTCAGGATTTTGAGCACACATGCACACATGCCCAGTATGAGGGTTTTTTCCTTTTGTTAATTAATTAATTTAAAAAATTATATTACATTTAATCACATATATCTTTATAGTGTATAACATTTCTTTTTCAAGCACAATTACTATGCATATCAGTCAAGACAAAGACATTACTATCCACATTATCATCACAAAATAGCTTTTCATTTTTTCAGATCATTATTACTATAATTTATTCTCATTATTGTTTTTCTAAACATTTAATCACTATATATCATTTGATTTATAAAGAGAATTTACCGAATAAGAAATACTTCTCAGACCAGTCCAGTTGAGAATACTATACATGTTATTATCAACAGTAATAAACCATTTCTGTATCCCACAAATGTCATGCCTCTCTATTTGTTCTTGTACTATCTATCCTTCTCTACTCTTCTCTACTCTCCCCCTGCCCCTCGTTCCACACTGTCTTCAGCATCCATAAATATTTTCACTGCTTTTATGCCCTCCAATATTTCAATCTCTACCATAGAGTGTGAATAAGTCAGTATACATTAAGTGGATAGTACAATATCTTTCTATCATAGGCTGGCTTGCTTCACTCAGCAACAAATCTTCCATATTCGACCACTTTCTACCAAATGCCACAGTTTTGTTATTTTTATGGTTGTTTAGTATTCCATAGAGTATATGTGCCCCACTTTTTCAATCCATTCATCGTTTGTGGACATTTGGGGTGGTTCCATATCTTAGTGATTGTGAATAGTGCTGCAATAAACACTGATGTGTAAGCGCTTTTCTGACTAGCATTCTCCTGTCCGTTGAGTAGATACTCAGAAGTGGGATAGTTGGATCAAATGGTATTTTTAATCTTTACATCAGACAGGGGTTAGGTGGTATCTCACTGTGTTTTGTTTGTTTGTTTTGAGAGGTTTTTGTTATAGGGCATGTGTGCTTGCCAGAAAGACAGAGAGAGACAGAAAGTGAGAAATCACTCCCCAGGGGGGATGGCCACACCACAATCCCTTCTCCTCTCCAGATCTTGGGCATGCACGCAGATGTGCTTGGCGTGAGTTTAAGCTGCCGGGTATGGGACTTGAACTGCAATCGACCACATGGGAGTCCAGTGACACAGTCATTACACCAACTGCTTTTCCCTCATTGTGGTTTTAATCTGCATCTCCCTTTTGATGAGGCATGTTGAGCATTTTGTCATATCCCAGCATGAGTTTTAAGCTGCCAGGTCCAGGACTCAAACCATAGTTGACTAAGTGGGAGTGCAGTGACATAACCATTATGCCCTCTGTGTAAAGAATAATTTTAATTATTCAGTAAAATGTAAAATAATTTTATACAGGAGCCAGCAGATGGCATAGCAGTTAGTCGCTGGACTTCCACGTGGCCAACTGTGGTTCCAATCCTGACCTGTGGCTTGAAAATCAAGTTGGGTACATGCGTGTGCATGCCCAGGATCCTGGGAGGAAAATGGAAGAGAAGGGTTTGGGGCACGGCTATGCTCTCTGGGAGTGATTTCTCACTTCTTTCTCACTGTCTCTGTCTTTCTTTGTGGCAATCGCATATGCCCTAAGGCAAAAACCCTGTAAAAAAAACAATAATAATTTTATACATTGGAATAAAAATCCTGTTTTATCTTGCTTAAAATAGTCAAGGGCCAGGTGGTGGCATGGTGGTTAAGGCCACTGGATTCCATGTGGTCAATCACACGATGTAAGTCTCAGACCCCACAACCTCAGGAACACACTGGTTATGTGTGTATATGTGTGGCCAAAATGCCAAAAGGTGAGAGAGATGGAGGAGAAGGGACTGTGGTGTGGACATCTTCCCTGAGGGATGCTTTCTCACTTTCCTTCTTTATCTTTCTCTATGTGTCTGTCTCCTGAGAGTACACACATCCTCCAGTGAAATTAAAAAAAAATGCTCATACAGGGACCAGCAGTTAGCATAATGGCTATGTCACTGGACTCCCACGTAGTCGACCACGGTTCAAGTGTCAGACCCAATGGCTTAAACTCATGCCGGGCGCGTGTGCGTGTATGCCCAAGATCCCGAGAGGAGAAAGGAGGAGAAGGGATTGCGGCATGGCCATCCTCCTTGGGTGTGATTTCTTGCTTTCTGTCTCTCCGTCTCTCTCTGTCTTTCTGGCGAGTGCACACACCCTCTAGCAAAAACCTCTCCAAAAAAAAAAAAAACATGTGCATATGTAGGAATCATCTCTATGTTAGCAGGGCTACCTAAAAGTTGAATAATTCATTCGAATATCCAAGAGCTTCACAGAGTGAGGGGAGTGATCATAAGAGAAGTCATAACAGTATCTCAAATAACCATTCTTTACCAACATGAACTGGCTAATTTAGTCACTGTTGAATGGAGGCATATTAACTCATATAGGCCAGAGTTTAATCTTACAGACAAACCTGTGTTGCTAAAAAACAATTAAATAGTTATGGCTAAATAAGGAATTATTAAGAAAAAAAGTTAATCTGTGTCAATTTTCTTATGATCAATAGATTAATTTTAAAGTTACCGGTGCAGTTTTTTAGAATAATTTACCATCTCCTTTTCAAAGACAATGCTCTTTCACTGTATTAGTAGTCTCTGATCCATTCTAGAAAGCTCACGTTTATATGTAGAGGGAGTTAGGAAACAAATTTTTCTTATTTTACCTATAGAGCATGTCTGAACCTAGAGAGTGATAATGACATCATATCTGCTTGTTTATTTCTTTATTTTTATTTATCGGTGTATTATTTTTAGAGAAGTAGAGGATTTGAATTTAAAATATCTGAGTCAGTGTCTTGGGTCCAATATTACTAAATGCATGACCTTGGGGAAGTCATTTGATCTTTCTGAACTTCAGTTTCCTCCTCCAGTGGGAATTGTTTTCATGAGGCTCAAATGGCATATTTTTAAAAGACTGACATATGATAATGTACATATTTGTGGAGTACAATGTGACTTTTCAGTCCAAGAATATAATATTTACGGATTGAATCAGGACAATGTATCCATCATGTCAGTCATTGGGCATTGCTTTAGGCAGGTATGGAACTTTCAAAATGCTATTTTTTCAGTTATTAACCATGTTCAGTAAGTTGTTATAAACTATGTACACCCTACTCTTATTTTTATAACACTCACCTTTATCCCTCTTATCTGTCGGGGAAGTTTGTCTCCATTAATCCACATCTCTCTATCCACTCTCAGCCCTATTTTTCCCAGCCTCTAGAAGTCATTCTTCAATCTTCTTCTATATAGTTATTTCTTTAACTTCTACATATGAGTGAGAATGTGATAATTCTTTTTCTGTGCCTGGTTTATTTGATTTAACATAGTATCTTCCAGGCTCAACCATTTTACCTCAAACAACATGTATATTACATATACTACATATAGTATACACACACACACACACACACACACACACACACACACACACACACCATATTTTCTTTGTCTATTCATTTGTTGATAGATACTTAGGTTGATTCCACATCTTGGCTATTGTGAATAGTGCTGCAATAAACATTGGGTGTAAAATCTTTACAAAATACCAATTTCCTTCCCTTTGGATACATGACTAGTGATGGGATTGCTGGATAATAAGGAGTTCTATTCTTAATTTTGAGAGGGACCCATGCTGTTTTACATCATGGCTGTACTAATTTACATTGCCACCGGTAGTAAAGAGAGGGAAGGAAAGGAAAATTCGAAATTTTAAATTTTAAAGGAGTTCCTCTTTTTCTGCATTCCTCTTCAGCATTTTTTATTTTTTTGTCTTTTTGATAATGTCAAATGGCACATTTTTAAGAGCTTCTTACAAACTCTCCTGTGTACTTTTAAAGTTATATACCGTAATACTGTTATTTGTAGCTCTATGTTCAACTTGCACGGAGTCTCCAGTCTAGCGTAGAGGCTTTGTGAGATGTTCTGATATATTTCTCTGTACCTTTGCTGAACACAACAAACTCCAATCACACATGCCATACATTAATTTACCTTTTTCTTCGTTTTCTTGACTTCCAATTTTGACTTCAGCTAAAAGAGCTTCCTTTTCCCTGAGAGCTTTCTGCTCCGTGAGGTGCTGTCTCAGCAGTAGCCAAAAAGTAATAGTGAAAAGAATCTGAAATTAGAGAATTAGCAAAACAAGAATTAAGAAACCATTTCAAATGTAAACACTTTTCAAAAAATACAACATTTTCTTTACATTTCAGTGGGAACACAATAAATCAACTTTTTTATTTGAGAAAGTACCCGCTTAATTATAACTAAAGTTCACTAATTTTATTTTATTTTTAAAAGCATATTTCTATCTTTCATGGCATAGGAGAAAGAAAGAGGCACTTCCAACAGGATCTTCATACCGTAATCCACTCCCAGCTCTGACCAACTCCAGTTACAGGCATGAAAGTGCCTGGCCTGCACAGGGAGACTTTGGGCCTCAGAATGAGAACCGTCTTTGTGTGTCAATCTTGTAGAGTACTGTGTTTTACTCTTGAACCACCATCTGACCCTTCTAAATGTTCACGAAACTCTTTAAAAGGATCTTCACAAAGTTTATTTAAAAATGTATTATGAAAAAACTGTCTATAGATTTTAAATTTATTTTGCACCGAAATAGATTCACATATCGATTCATTTTTCCACGAACTTTGTTGAAGTCCTGTCCTATACTGTGTACCTTTATTGGTCCAGCACTGTAGACCATGTGTTACTGGTGTGTCATCATTGGCCCCTGAAGTCCCAGCTTTTATTTTTTTAATTTTACTTAAGTTTACTTATTTTTTAGATATTTTTGCTATAGGCCCTGTGTACTCTCTAAAGAGACAGACACAGAGAGATAGAAAGTGAGAAATCCCCCCCCAGGGGGGATAGCCATGCCACAATCCCTTCTCATCCATTCTCTTCTCAGAATTTTGGGCATGCATGCACATGTGTCTTGTGTGAGTTTTAAGCTGCCAGGTCTGGGACTCAAACCATGGTTGACTACATGGGAGTCCAGGGATGTAACCATTACACCATCTGCCAATCTGCCGGTCTCCTGAAGTCATAGCATTTACATCTCCTTTCCAGAGATGTTCAATAGCATGTGTCAGGTAACAAGCGTATACTCAACAATATAGAGTACCAAGGAAGATGCATCAGATCGACTGTTCAGATTACTTCCATCTGGGCAGGAAGTCAACTTCAGCTACTGGTGTACTCTCAACATGCTTTTCCCTGATTAATTTCCTCCCGACTGTGAAGTATAATTGTAAAAGGAAGATATACTTCTTGTATGATACTTTTTTGCCTCTACAATGTTCCTTATTTTGAAGAATTCCACAGAGGTTAAAAAAAAAGAGCACCTTAACTACTGTTCCATCTGCTGGCCCTTATAGGATTGCCTTTACTCATGAAATGGAGCCATCAACACAAAGGGAATGTGTGTTTAGATTATGATTCTTTGGGGGCCAGCAGGTGGCCTAGGTACTGGACTCCCGACTGTGGTTAAAAATCCTGGACCCAGTGGTTTGAAACATAATGCCAGACTTGTGTGCATGTGTGCCCAAGGTCCTGGGAAGAAAATGGAGGAGAAGGGATTGGAGTGTAGTCGTTCCTCCTGGCATTGATTTCTTGCTTCCTGTCTCTCTGACTCTGACTCTCTCTCTCCAGGGAGCACAGGCGCCCTATAGCAAAAATATCTAAAAAAAAAAAAAAGAATATGATACTTTGTTAATAAAACAGTGAATTGAGACACCTTAACTTCTGAAATGAAAACTATTTAAGATAGCTCATGAGAATAAGTAAGTAATGAACGTGAACATTCTAGCTACAGACAAAGGCATAATGCAGAAGAAAAGAAAAGCAAGTGTCATACCTAATTTTTGCTGGTAAAAATGTTTTTTAGGACATAATTGGAGAAAGATATCATCAAGAATCAATGATTATCTATAATAGCAATGCTGAGCATGTGTTATAAATTCATAATCTAAAGAAAGTCCTCTTATACCTTGATAAATCTTCTATTGTATTTTCCTATTTCCATATCTAACTTTTACTATTTTACAATTTATATTAAAAATAATTTATGCTATAATTTTTGAATAGAAATCTTTGCTATTTTAAGTAAAAGCTAAAAATATAGTATAATACATGTTTATTTGCTTAGAGGCCTCTAAGCAATATAAATTATTTCTTACAGTTTTATATCTGTTGATTTTGCTAGGCAATGAATATTTGGAACTTAGTTTTGTAAGGTTTTGCTTGAGTATGATTGTTATGATTATTGTGTTATTTTCCCCATTTTTTTTTTTATTCACCTACCTTTGAAGCAAGTTCCCCTGGCTCTTTCTTTTCTAAAAACCCTGGCACCTTTTTAATTTCAGGAAGTTCAAAACTCCATATATACTGCAATATCAGCAATAGATTTCCATAAACCACCATGAAGGGAGAGCTTATCATGGCATATTTTCTTCTGTTACGAATCATCCAGAGAGTGCATGACCAGATCAACAGCACAAAAGTCAACCAGCTGTGGTAGGTGATGCTCCAAGCCTCGAGGGAGAAAAGGAAAGAAAAAGCAATAGTGGTCAGTGTTATGTATCAGCCACCATTCTGGTAAGCTCAAAGTTATCTAAAAAGAAAACATCCAGGGACCAGCAGATGACACAATGGTTACATTGCTGGACTCCCACATAGTCAACCACAGTTCCAGTCCTGAATCCGGCAGCTCAAACTCACACTGGTATGCGTGTGTGTGTGCTCAAGATACTGAGAGGAGAATGGAGGAGAAGGGACTGTGGTGTGATCATCCCTCTTGGGGGGTGATTTCTCACTCTCTGTATCTCTGTCTCTCTCTGTTTCTTCAGCGAGTGAACATCCCCTATAGCAAAAAATCTCTCTTAAAAAAAAGTCCATAATATTCAAAGTAGGGAGAGGAGAAGATTGTGGTGGAGTCATGGATAGAGTACCAACCTGAGGCCCAAGAAGAAAGGAAAGAGATACTAATTTTGCTGACAGTGACATTGCTTTAGATCTTTTTAAAAAGAGGATAGTCAAAGGCAAAATGTCTTTCATTCCAGAAAAATATCTTCACAGATATAATTCCAGCAGACTTTTCCCCACATTATTCTTATTTGGGAGGGTAGGGGTAGATAAGGGAAAAAAACAAGTTATGACAATTAAAAATAATTGTTTCCTTTCCAATACCAAGTCACATATGTCTTTCTGTGGAGGTGTTTGGGAAATTAAATCTGCACTATGTTTTTTACTATGTTCAGTTTCCAATTGTCTGATAGTTTATTGTAGCTTCACTTCATGATTTTTTCTTTAATGTGCCAGAAAGTGAATTTACAAGAGAGAGAGAAGAGAGAGAGAAAAAAAATGGAAAGGAGGAAGGGAGGAAGAAGGTATCCCTCAATAGGGCATGATCCCTCCACAATCCCTTCTCCTTCATTTCTCCAACCTGTTAGAATTTGGGGCATGCATGCACAGGTGCCCAGTGTATTTTTTAAGCCTCTAGGGCTGGGATTCAAACTACAGTCAGCTACATAGGATCCAGCTCCCTTAACCACTAGGTTATAGGGACAGTTCTGTGTTTTGAGGAAACACATATATAGACATATATCACTTAATGACACGGTTGCTTTCTAATGAAATGTATCATTAGGTGATTTTGTTTTGGGGTAACATCATAGAGTATACTTACAAGAACCTAAATGATATAGCCTACTACACACCTAGACCACATAGTACAGCCTATTATAATCTTAAGGGATCCCCACTATATATATAGTGCATCATCGACCCAAATGTTAACAGACTTGGCTCCTCAGGATTTCTGTTTCTTAATGTGATGGAAAAAATCAGCTGCAATGGGAGCATCAGGGAAAGCAGACACTTGAAAAAAATCAATATTGTGACTGTACTAAGACAACAGAATGGCACCAGACAAGGGCATATCTTTGATGAAGAACTGTATCATTTTTATCTATGCTTTTATATTTTCTTTTTTATTAGGTAACAAAATGTGTATTCAAAGGTATATTTTTAAAGCTCTATTTCTTTTTAAAAATGACCAAATTAATCTGGCTTAGAGAGAAAAATATTACTGTATACTTCTTTGAGTTCAGAATCAGAATTATAAATTGCATATACATATCATATATTCAATACTGAAAATTAGAGCTTTGCTATAAAGTAAAGGTTGGTAATTTAAAACTTTCAAAAAGTAACTGAAGAGCACATGATTTTTTAATAGAGATTTTTGTTATAGGCTGTGTGTACTCACCAGAGAGACAGAGACAGAAGATAGAAAGCAAGAAATCACTCAAAAGAGGGGATGACTATGCCACAATCCTTTCTTCTCCATTCTCCTCTTGGGATTCTGGGTACACATACACACACACGTAGCTTAAATTTTAAGCAGCTATGTCTGGGACTCGAACCATGTTGACTATGTGGGAGTCTAGTGACATAATTATTACACCATCTACTGATTCTAGAGCACAGATTGTTTTACTTAAATAGAGTTGGCTGATCCAAAATGATTATCTTTAGTTTTGAAGAGCTTTCTTTTTCCAACCTCCTCTGGCATGTGCCAGTGTTCCTTATTAGAAAGTGAAGCTTTCACACAGGTTCATCTGGGAAAGATTTTGACTGAAGGCTTGGGAAATTTGTGTCTAGGTTTTGTTTTGTTTTTTAATTCCTTAGACTTATAGAATTTTTTTTTATTATCAAGTATATTTTTGGAATCTCACCATTGACTATAGAACTTGGAAGAATTGTGCTTTATACACAAATGCTGGGTTTTTCAGAAATAAAGGTGATTTTCCAAGAAAATTCTTTAAGAAAAAGTGAGAGTAGGGCTTCTTTTATCTTTGATCTACAGAGGATTATTTTGGAAGTTGTAATGCTGGAGATAAAACATACATCTACAGTTGAATAGAAATATAAATAAACTGAGAGCTCACAATTGCAAAATTGTGTAAATTGTGGTTGCTTGATGCTCATACTGGATTGCAGCTAAGGTGGGATAAAGTCTCACTCAAATCTAAGATAGTATGTGAGTTATCAATATCTTAAAATCATCACTATCTTAAAAAGCAAAAGTAGTCTCAGCATTTTAATACTGTTGAGAAAAAAAATGAATATAGCCAACAAAGCTGCAAAATAGGGAATAGCCTGACTTGAGTTAATTTGAGAATGTATTAGTGTTTAAAGGAGGATAAGTAGAATTGAAGAAGACATGCTTCTGCAATCTGTAGTATAAAAATCCCATGAAAAATGAACATAACCAACCATTCTCTGCCAAAGCATTGGGAAGATGACGTTCCTTATGTTGGCCATGAGAGGATGGTGGGACTGAGAGCCTGCAGGGCTGTAGCACCCCTTCTCCAGCACCCTGGCCATTGTTGCTCATACATACCATCATAGCGATAAGGGCACAGATGTAACTCTGTTTCATAATAAATTGGAAGACAGAGACCATGGCATGGACTTTAACACTTCTTTTTTCCTCATGACTCCTCATTTCCTCTTCAAATTCTTCTTTCTCATCCTCTTCTTCCTCTTTCTTTTCTAGAAGGACAAATACTTTATGTAACTACTTTTGTAAATAAATGAAATTTGTATAACTATCCAAAGTGCATGTATGGTTTTGACATAACCTCCTATTTAAGACTTTGGACATTATTTCTAACTACTAAGGACCTTAGAATTCAAATAGAAGTGATAAATTTTGCCCAGTCAGTGTAACAGGACCCAGTACTCAGAAACTGCAAGAAGAAATTTTCCAATTGAGAGAGCCTGGATGGCAGCTTCTAACACGATCCCCAGTGCCCCTATCTGCTGGTATTCACATCCTTGTGTGACCCTCCTGTTTGAATGTGGGGGGGCCTGTGATGGGCTTTTAGCAAACATAACAAACGTCACTTCCAAGATTTAGTTCAAAAGGTAGCTTTCACATTTATATCTTTTTCTCATTCTCTCACTCACTTGTTTAAGAAGAAGCCAGCTGTCATAAATTGCTTAAAGATAGAATACCCAGGTAATATGAGACTGATGTTTCTGATGACCAGCAATCAACGAGAGCTTGAGGTTTCAAGGGCTATGCAACTGGGCATGGAAACAGATTCTCCAGCAGGCAAACCTTCAGATGAGACTGCAGCCCCAGCAAGCAGCTTGACTGCAATGCCATGAGAGAGCTCCAGCCAGAGAAACCACCTTAGAGACACTCAGATTTCTGACCCCGCCAAAATTATGCAATATCAAAGTTTTTTTAAGCCACTAAGTAAAATGTTCTTTCTTTCTTGATTAAATTACATGGAAACAACCCAAATATCCCTGAACAGATGAATTGATTAAAGAAGTGTGAAACATAAACCCTACAGAATACTACTCAGCCATAAAAAAACAATGAGACCCTAGAATTTGGTAGAAAGTGAACAAATATGGAAGATTTTCTGCTAAGCAAAGCAAGTCAGACTATGAAAGAGAGGAACTGTATGTCCCCACTCAATATATACCAAATGTTGGCACTCTATGGCAAAACTTGAAAGGTTGGAAGGTATAAAACCAATGGCGATACTGGAGACACCGTGGGAAGAGGGTGGAAAATGGGAGTGGGTGAGAGAGGGAATCAAGGAGAAGAAGCAGCAAACAGTTAAGGGACCCAAGATGGAAATAAATCTGTTGATTATAATGTAATTCTATACTAATGCACAGTGTTTGAATGTAAAAATAAATAAATAAATAAATAATAAAAATGAATACATTACATGGGCTGCTTATACATGAGCTACAAGTGGAGTAACACCATGAAAAGGAAGCATAGACCACTGAGAAATCAGTGACCCCTCATGCTACCCTATGTAGGATCCAAGGTGAGGCTTCAGTATTTCCTTGGGTAGAAGCCCACTGTCTCTCTTTCAGCATCAGAACTGGATAAGCCTTGGGTTTGTACAAGAAAGCCTACAGATCATAGACAGCGGTGAAAGACTCAAACTGATGGATTTAAGAGGTACTGGCATGTTACTTTTCTAGCTGTGACACTGTGTATTTAGGTTCAACTAAAAAAACAAAACAAACAAACAAAAAAACCCTCTCCAGCTATTGTTTTACTTTCGAAAGTTTAGTTGATGATTTGAAGACATTAATTATTGTCAGCAGTCAAAATTCTATTAATTTGCAAACAGAAGGAAATCTTGGCTGTTACCTGAATGACTCAAACGTTAGAAGTCACAAATGCTGACTCTTGGGCTCTGCCCTTTGTAATCCTAGTACTGAGGCTTTGAAGACCACATGTCGGAAGCACTGCAAGTCCTTGAGATTTCACCTTAAGCCCAAAGTGCAAATTTCATCCTAAGCCCAAAGTGCAAACTAAGGCACATGCATGCAGGAAGCAGATAATGGTTAATATACCAGTTGTCTGATGCTTTACAGAGCTCACAGGTACTATTTGGGATTGGGGAGTGTGTGTGTGTGGAGAGGGAATGACCTTGATCTAACCTTACTGAGAAACATTGGATAATGTGACTAAGCAGTCATATTGTTAAGTAGATGAACTGGCAGAGGCAATGGCAGGAAGTACTGATAAAGAATTATGAAGAACAGAACAACCAAATAAGCCTGATAAAGAATTATGCAAAAAAGGGTCTCAGAGTAAGCCTAATATATCACTGATGCAAATTGGATAACTGCTGGCAGGCTCACTAAAGGCAGGATAATGCCTGATAACAGTGTTAATTCCACATAAGTAGAAAAATCCACTAATGTTTGTTTACTGCTAGTTGCATGGCTTCTGCTTTCACATATTTATTTATTTTTGCTTAACACTAAGCTTAGCTAATTCTGTCTCTATGAACTGGCACAGTGTCCACAAGGGCAAGGCAACAACAGAGGTCGACCCAAAAGCTGCCTTGTAGGGACGAGGGAGTAGTACTGTCAGATATTCACATTCTTACATGGAGTCCAGAAATTTCTATTTCTAGGTTAGAGCCACAGTTTAAAGATGTTAGCTACTATTTAAATTTTTAAAAAATGCTGTGCAAATCAAAAATCAAGTCGAGGATGAGAGCTCATCACCTGGCCCCAAATTGTTCTCTCTAGTAAGAGTCTACTGTCCTTCTACTGACAGAAAAGGCCTTGTACGAGTATTGATCCTCTCCTTTGGTTACTCTCTTTAGCAATACTCACTTGCAAACACTTCAGAAAGTTAATGAAAAATAAAAAAGTATGAGTCGATTTTGGTGGAATAAACTTTGAAATTTATGTGTATTTTTGCGGGGGGAGGTTTTTGCTATATGGTGCGTGTGCTTGCCAGAAAGACAGAGGGAAACAGAGAGACAGAAAGTATAAATCAGACCCCCTGAGGGGATGGCCATGCCACAATCCCTTCTCCTCCATTCTCCTCTTGGGATCTTGGGCACGCAGGCACATGTGCCTGGTGTGAGTTTAAGCCACCGGATCCAGGACTCAAACTGTGGTAGAGTGCTTGGGAGTTCAGTGACATAGACATTATGCCAACTGCTGGTCCCAAAATTCATGCGTATTTTTTTATAATAGTCATTTTCCATGAAGACCTCCCTGTGCATTAAACAGCAAAATTACTGGCCATAATTATAATATCGAGTTTACAGAAAGACCAACACACACACACACACACACACACACACACACACACATACACATGTATATCACATGTATACACACACATATACATATACATGTATAGGCTTAATTCTGCAGACAAGTTGGCACGTTATAGTAATTTTTTATCTTTAATTTTTCAAAGTTTATTCAAATTATGCAACTTACTTTATACACAAAGGGAGAACACAGAGAGCAATATGTTAAGACAAAATACAGGCAGAACTTCAGGAAAGTTACCAATTCTACTGACCAGTATACTGGTCAGTAAACTTTTCCAACCAGTTTTTAAACAGAGACACATGTGCTTGTTCTGTCTTGAGTTGCCGATAGGTTCACGTACCTACAATTTGAACAGAATCCTAACCTGTTTCCTGGCTTTAAGTTTTAAGTGAAGTTCCTTAGCATTTCTTTTATTTATTAAAACTAAAACTGCTTTTCTTGAAATTAAAAAAATATATATTAAAAATACCTATTTAATGACCATGGTAAGCTATATAGCATCAGCTAGGTGCTACCTTATAGTATATTCATTCTACTCAGAGCTTCACGCCTAAAGTCAGACCTGTATTCACAGATATGTATATACCAGCTGAACTTGCTATTGAAAGTAGTTAGATTATTTAAGAAATTTTGTGAATCAATAAAATGTGGGGGGAAAAAGGAATGGGAAACAATCGTAGACACCTGAGATAGTGTGGGAGGAGGATGGGAAATGGTAGAGGGTGAGAAGTAGGGGGACAAATATATATATATATATGAAACTAGAAATGGAAAATTATTGATGATAACATGCAAGATTAAGACACTATGTAGTATATTCTGGATGGGAAATCACATTTTGTATGCTGTGATGATGCTCAGTGAATGAATGTAAATTAATTAATTAATTAAAAATACAAAAATAAAATAAAAAACAAAACAAAGAAAAAATGAAGTCCAAGTCAAATAAATAATGGAAGAGCGATGCCATGTTTATGAATGAGAGGAAAATAGTACTCTGAATACGACCTATGCCCGCAGAGCTGGCTTCTTACCTGAGGACTCCTCGGAGTGCTCCCACCGGTACTGGGGAGTGGAGTACAGGTCGCCTTTGGCAGGGCCATTCTCCATGGGCAGACTGGGGTGGATGGTGTGATAATCCACAGGGTTGCCATTTACAGTCACCAGCAGGCCCTGTGGGGATTGTGGAGCAGAGGATACCTGTGAGAGCAGCTCTGAGTTCCAGTGAAGATGCACCTCCTCCTTCCCTGCGCCACACATAGCTCACCAGTGAGGAGCTGAGAGCTGAGCAACTCAATTATCCAAATATTTTAGCAAGGTGAGTTGTGTAAACTCCCTCTCCAAACCCATCCTCCACAGAGTGATCACACTGACATACACATCTGATCTTGCTGCACTCCTGCTACAAACTGTGCACTCTACCATTTTCTTAGCATAAAGTGCCAACCTCGTAAAAGGCTGACTGCCACCTTCATGGTCTGCTGTGATCTGCCCAGCCCCAGGTTCCACCACTGTCCACCTCACAGTCATGCCTCCAGCAACACGAGACTCCAGACATTTCTGGGCCCTGGCCCATTCCTGTCCTTTCCCACCCTCACCTGGCTCTGCACAGAACTAAAGTGAATGTCATTCAGGTTTCAATTGAGATCCATAACCTCTGGGCATCTCTGCTGATTGCAAGATTATACCTCCCTTATTGTATAGCAAAGTGTAATTGCCTGCTTTCCCTCTATGTCTCTTGGTTTTACAATTTTAAAAATAAGCATATCAATAGATACACATGTGTATGTGTCCATGGCATACAAAACTTTCTATTCAAATGATATATAAACATAGTTATAGAACAAAATGCTTTAAAAATTTCCACCAATGTGGCTTTTACATGTGTAAATGTATTTTGTGTGATTATACACAATCTCATATCATATGAATCCATGTTTTAACAGCAATAAACCAGGTATTATTTCTGCAAAAAAAAAAATTCCTGAAAAACTTCTGGAAATTGTATATCATTAAAATATACTCAAGGGAGCTAATTCCATTTCTGTTACTTTTACATCACTTGTACAGCATAAAAGATAATTCTAAGGATATACTAACATCAGATGGTTTGTAGTCATCTTGGGTCATGGATAAAAGCTGCAAAAAGCAATGCAAGACAGCATATTAATATGTAAGCAGAAAGCATTTTAATGTTTTTATATAAATATATCTATGAAGATTTACTATATACAATACCCATCCTTTTAGCTATGCTAGTATGTTAAAACTGCCATGCAAAACATAAAGGGTCAAATAATTGAACTGGATTTTGCTGTTTATTATAAATATCCTCAAGTTTATGATGTTAACTTTGAATTAGGAAGCAATAAGCATCCATAAACCACATGACTATAGTTACTGAAGATGTGTTATATGCTTGAAAAATGAAGAAAGTAGATGTTAAATGTTGATACCATAAACATGATAACTATATGGGGTAATGCATTTGTTAACTAATTAGATCTAATCATTCCATAATACACATGTACTTCAAAACATAAATACATACAATCTTATCTTTAAATTTTTTTTAAAAAGTTACATCTTTCTGGGGCCAGCAGATGGTATGGTGGTTGAGGTGTTGGATTCCCACATGGTTGACCATGGTTCAAGTCTTGAACCTGATGACTTGCTTTCTCACTTTCCCCCCACCTCTCTCTGGCCAAATTAAATAATAAAATAAATAATTATTTTTTAAAAAGTTATGTATTTCAAAGGTCTTGTTCTAATGAAAGAAGCTGCTGAGTTTTATACTCTTAGAACCCTATGAGACAGCTGCAAATTCTGAGGGTGTTTACTTTCCAAGAATAAGTATTATAATAAAGAAAAATTCATTTGTAGCATAATTTGAAATTATTTTAAGATTAGCATCCTGTTGACACCAAAATAATGAATTGACCACGTTTTTTAACTACACTAATGCCAGGTGGTTTGGGCTTTCCCCAAATAATAATCATTTGTTTTACTAATAATTTTGCAATACACTCTTGGTTCAGGACTCATTCACATTATTAGAATCACTGAGGGTCACAAAGAGTTTTTTATTTATGTGGTTTCTGTCTATCAATATCTGACATACTAGAAATGAAAACTTAAGCATTTAAAAATACTTATTAATTCATTAAAAATAAAAAGGCCAATATATGTTAACATAAATAAATTGCTTAAATAGCTATACTTTCAAAAACAAACAGTGAAAAGTGTCACTGTTTTATGCATTTATATATAATTTTAATGTCTGGCTTAAATAATGCAACCAGATTCTTGGATGTTTCTGAATTCAGTTTACTATGATACGTTGCTTTGGTTGAAACATATGAAGAAAATCTGGCTTTACAGAGGTTTACACTTGGAAAAGGAAGGTGTATTTTAGTAGTCTATCAAGATAATTGTGGGTCATGGGTCATTTTCTTTGACAATATATCAGGTTCAACCAGTGGGAGCTTCTTGAAGGTTTGAAGTTTGAAACCAGATCAATAAACTTTTTATACTATATTTATATTAATACATTGATATACCTTGCACCTTGAATGGTTCTTTTACCCATGCATTGTACTATCAGGAAGTGGTGGTGTGAAACAGTTTGTTCAGTGAGTTATACAATTTACCACATATTGATAAGTCTCATTATTCAATCTTTAAAAAACACATTTGTTAATATCACCCTTCATCTCAACAGCTGCTGGAAAATTTTCAGGCTGTTAAATGGTGATGCAAGTTTTTCAAAATTCTAATTTTTATTCAAGGCCAAATTTTATCACTGGCAACCAGTGCTGTTCATTGTTTGCCTTGAAGTGATGGGCTCACTTCTTTTATTTTCAAGTAATTGTCTGCCAGGTCCTCAGATCTGAATAACCATGTCTGTCCATCAGCTGTTCTTTTAGGTAAAAGAACAGTGTGCCATGGGAACACTGGAAGCTCAGCTCACCGTGCCGTGACCTGCCCTGTGCTTCTCACTGGGACAGTCATCAGACTTTATATGTGCCGTGTAACACAAACTTTCCACTCCCACCCACAGAATATTAAAAAGACGTGTACTCCGAGGTTGAGATTTAAGAAAATTAATAAATCCTGTGGGCTCATCAAGGATTTCGATGCTTGAATCCTTGCTTGGTGGTGAAGAGCTAGATTTACAATTACCACTGTGTGGTTTGTTGCCTGGATTTGGCTAGTGTTCAGGCATCAGTGATTTTACCCGGTATTGCTTTTGTATCATCAAGGCAACATTTTTTTTTTTTTTTAAAGACTGGGTCTTGCTGTGCTGTAATTCTCCTACTTCAGCTTTCTGAGTAGCTAGGGTCACAAACATGTGCTACAGTACCCAGCTCTAGATCTTGGGTATGAATATACACATAGTTTTGAGTTGGAGATCTCTGCAAACATCTTTGGATCTGGAGAAGGCCAGAGGCTTCACTTGAAAGTGACCCGGCTATTTCTGTAAATATCTCTCATTTAGTGAAATGGGCAAGACAATCTAAAACCTGCTGAGATGAGGGAAAGAAAAGGTCCCTTACAATCATCAGACATGAGAATGGGATGGTATGACTTGGAGAAACTCACCTGGCCCCAAACTAATAAGACAATCTATTCTAATTCTATAATATGCTGGGAAGCAAAATGCTGACTCCAACTAAGAATCATAAGCATGTATATCTTTACAACAGTGCAAATAGGACACCTTAATATTAGTCGAGTTCAGGACCAGCAGATGGATTAATGACTATGTTGCTGGATTCCCACATGGTCCACCATGGTTTGAGTTCCAGACCTGACAGATTAAAATTCAAGCTGGATGCAGGTGCCTGTGTGTCCAAAACTGTGAGAGGAGAATGGAGGAGAAGGGATTGTGATGTGGCCTTCCCCCCTGGGGGGTGGTGGTGGTGATTTCTAGTTTTCTCTCTCTCTGATAAGGACCTG